ACTTTGACTTTGGTAGGACTAAGCCTACGAAAAAAAAAACATTTTTTTTTTCGAGGGAAAACGCTCTAACAAATACAATAATTTTTTTGTCATTTTTGAAATTAATATACGGATAACTGAAGTTCGATTAAGTGCACATTGAGCTGGTTAACAACTAAAAATGTTCTTTAGATTAACAAATTTTGATTAAAAATGGCGCAAAACCCGTATACTTTTTTTAATGGAAGGTTATTTCTTTACGGATCGAACTACAGTGAAACACATCCCTGAGAAGTCATTTAAATTTGATCGGTAACGACGACGTTCCTTGAAATGAAACTGACCAAACTGATTGGCAAAATCAACAGATCCGGAATGTATGCATCTCTCTCTTTTGACTGAACAACTTTTGTTCCGACCATTGCAAATCGGGAGGAAGTTTGTGTTCGGGTGTGTTTTAGTTTTTTGTTTTCCACGCAAAATCAAGTACCACAAAAAAATCATCGGACTGGGCTGAGTAATAAATCAAATTAAAGCCCTTTCAGTCGTAATTCAATCGACATTAAAACATTTCCAAAAATATTCCAAGTTATGGGGAAAAACCGGTTTGAAATTTTAGTTCTTTTTTTGTCTTAATTCGAGCAAATAAAGCAAGCGGGCCGGCTTAAAACAGTTTAATCATGCCTAATTTAAGACCTAAAAACTTAATTTTAGGCAATTTAAACTAGTTTTTGGAGTTTTTAGCTCCATTTCGGGAACTAAAAACTTCAAAAAATTAAAATTAAAAAATTCCGCAAAAAATTTTCATAGTTTTTCTAGTCATTTTTCTACAAAACTTTTTGTCGAAATGTTTCTTAGTTTTTCTAGTCATTTTTCTACAAAACTTGTTGTCCAATCTGCCTATATTACTTTGAATGCCTAATATGCCTAAATTATAGTTTTACCTCCTCAGATCCTTTTATCAAACCAAGCAGAAAAAACTACACTAAATTAAAAAAAGAAAATTCTAAACCGTAGTTTTAAAGACTATGATCGGAACATTCTGTGCTACTTGCACAATAACCGGCTATCCTTGTTTTAGTTTTATTTCAGTTACTGTCAACTATTATTCACTAAAATACCCAATCTAAATCCCCAAACTTCACCACTAAAATACCCAAACCACTTAAACACCCAAACTTCACTTAATTGAAAAATTCAAGCCCGCGCAGCTGCCCGAGACACTTTTCGTTATCCGAAACGACTACCTCTTGAAATCTGCCCATTTCGCAATCAGACATTACTCGAAAAATAAGAGAACTGCTTCATGATTTTTCATAGCCCAATTTTTTCTCGAGGGCTGGCTTCTTTTAAGGCTGGCTTATTATAGAAGTTATGAAAAAATATTTTAACGAAAATCAAAGCTAGGATCAATGAACGTCATGGGAAAATTAGGTGATCACGTCGGGATGGACTCACCTGTGATTCCTGACTCTATATAAGACTCTTCTTTAGGGAGGAAGTAGGATCTGCTGAAACTTACAAAAATGAGAAATTTTACTCATAAGCGCAGTTCATCTAACGAGCAAAATTTTTTGAAACAATTTTTTTTCAAAATAAGCTTCAAATATGGAAGCAAGTAAAAGGTTCAGATATGAAAACTTCCCAACAAAAAACTATCAATTAATCAATTATTCAGTCTTGAAAACTTAGTTTAAAACTCAAAGGAAATTTTATGCATCAAGCCGAAAAATCTGAAAATTTTTCCAATTTTTATGGGAACAAATAAAACTGTTTTTAGCATTCATGTAAAATGAACTAAAACGCTGTATTGCGTCATCTTAAGAAACAGGTAATTTTCCAATTACACTTTAAAAAGGAAAAAGTGTTTTTTTGCCTTATGTTGAAAATTGTTTAAAAACTTTTAATATTCACCTCGGAACCATATGCTTATGCTTATCTATGGATAGTGCCTATTAATAGATATGACTTTATTTTAGATTGTTCTTACTCACATTTTTTTCACAAACACATATCACGAGGTTTCGAGAATATAATTCAGCTAATCAAAATCTGCAAGCAAAATGTATTTTTCACCATCAAGTGTCGGTAAAAAATCAGGATTTGATAATATGATGATATTGATAATTAATCATGAACATTACTCAATTTTAGTGATTGGAACTCAATAAAAGATTTTGATTGAAGATTTTAACTAAGCATTTTTAACCGAATTTTCTATACCATTCGAGAGACTTTGTTGTTTTGAGCTCAAATTGTCTGTGATCATTTATTGTATAGTTACGGAGTTTGAAAAATGTTAATTCGGTCAATTTGGGATATTTAACGCTCGAAATAATGCGCTAGTATAACATGCGCAAACGAAAAAAAAATACACAAATGAGTCTTTTCAAAGAAACAATAAGAGACGCTAAACACACTTTGTATCTTACATAACTTTCTTTTCAAATATAAGCTTTAAATCAATTTAAAAACAAATCAAAGTGATATTGATGATTATTCAGGAACATTACTAATTTTTAGTGATTGGAACCCAATAAAATTTTATTAAGAGTTTGTAGAAATTGAAACAAGTTTTGTACACGGCCAATTATTTCATTTTGTTTGAAAGAATTTCAAAATTCAGTTCTTTTACATTTTCTTTTGCAAAATTTTCAAAAATTAACATTTTTTTTTAATTTCCAAAAAATTCAACTATCAAATATCTTTTTAAAAACTGAAAAATCAAATTTACTTAAACAATTAGCCAATTATCATAGAACGATTGAGAGATTTTAAAATCTCAATTCTTTTTTTTTGATAGATTTGCGCACAAATTTTCTCAATATTTACAGATCAATGTACTCAAGAAACTTAATTTTAATTTTTTTTTGACTGTCGGGTCAACATTTGGAAAATGTTTTAATCTCAAAAATAAGTTTGCAACTGTTAACTTATATTGAACAGGTTTCTCATTTGTTAAGCAAAAGGTAAATCGAAATAGCTGTAAACGCTGCATCAATTCATCACGGTGAATGGCAAGCGAAGTAATCTCGGCGTTTCAGAAAACTACGATTCACGATGTTGAAAACTAAATGTCATTTCGTTACTGGAACTCATTTCCGGCGGTGCTTACCTTAGTAGTTTTTACGAAGGTTTTGTACTATAATATTTTACCTATCAAAAATCGGCTGGCTGACTCTAACGCTAAAATATTACAGAAGCATCTTCGGTTCCAATTTTTTGTAGTTTTGAGGGAGCGCACGCAATTTTTCGTTCAAACTAAATCTTTCAAAATATGGTTTTAATGGTTTTAGAGAGCTCGAAAGATCAATTTGTTCTCCCCAAAAAATTCAAAGAATTAGTAAATGTCATAGTAGATGAAAGTATCGATAGCGGAGAAATGGGTACTTTCTGTAGCGCAAAATCAAAAAAGTTTACATGAGATTATTGTCAAATGAATTAAAATTTATAGGTTGTGAAAATTATTTTGGATTTTTTTACTTTTCTGTTGCGCAAAATTTTGAATGGGATTGATATTTATTTGCCGAGAAACCTATGATGATGCCATAAACATTACGTTACCTTTAAAAACTTTTCTGTTTCTCTTGTTGTTCGGATTTTCGAAGAAAACATGGAATCTTTATGCTTGTGGTGGTTTTTGGTGGCTTTTCACTGAGCCGAGTACCCGCATAGCCAAAAAATAAATTCCTTACCGGATAGTCGAAATATTGTTTGCTCCGATAGTCAAAAAGTTCGAAAGTTAACAGCTGACAATGTTATTTTTTTAACCAAAAAACTTTCGCCCATTACAGTCAGAAATTGCTTACCGTACATTTTTCATGCTAATTTTGAAATCTTTTTAAATGGTTTTAAATACAAAGTTTTGGTTTATTTGACTCTTTTGAAGCTTTCTTGTCATTAAGATGATTGAAAATTTTGGACAAAAAATTTTTATTTTATCATTTTCATGAAAAATGTATGCAAAGCATTTAAAAAAAATGAACTTTTCAAAAATCACCCCTCATTTTTGACTCTCGTTATAGAAAAAATAGATGATGGGGGAGCAAATTGAAGAAAATGGAAAATGCTATCGTCCTTTTATTATTTGATCAACTAAATTCGAGCTATCCAAAAACGTTGTGAAAATCTTATTTTTAACATAATTTTGTGATAATGAACCAAATATTTGCGAACAATTTGGCAGTAAATCAAGATTTTGAACAATTTCTTGATGCCTCCTCCTCCCGTTCATCTCAAATCATTTTTTGAATATGGTCGTTTATTTACTACACAGCCGGCTTTGTTCGTAGTCAAAAATAGTTTGTTCCCGAATAACCAAAAAAAATATACGTAGCAAAGTATTCGCCATTTTTTTTGCTACCTAATTAATTGAAATCCAAGCTATTACGCATAAAATTTTTTGAGTCTATGGGATTTCATGTTAGCTTAGTTCCTAAAAAAGGAGTTTAATCGTTCGAATTAAAGTGCTCCTAATTATGTGAAGATTTTGTCCTCTTAGTCAAATTTTATTTTGTTGCTAATAAGCTGAAGAAGAAACTTTTGTTTTTCGACTATCCGGGAATGCGACTCTGTGGGTACGCACCGCTATTTTGTTCGGTCAGTTTTTGACTTCTTAACTAAGCAGTTCTGACCGAATTTTCTATACCATTTGAGACTTTTTTGTCTTGAGCTCAAATTGCCTGTGATCATTTATTGTATAGTTACGGAGCTTGAGAATTGTTAATACGGTCAATTTGGGATAATTAACGCTCGAAATAATGCGCTCGTATAGCATGCGCAAACGAAAAAAAAATGCAACAAATTAGCCTTTTCAAAAAAATAATAAAAGAAGCTAAACACACTTTGTATCTTACATAACATTCTTTTCAAATATAAGCTTTAAATAAATTTAAAATCAAATCGCTACAATACAAATACGATTGTGCAAAAAATCCGACGTTTTTAGAAGGTTTGAATAGACGGACTTTACAATAATGAATAACAGTTAGAGACGTTTACTGGAAAAAAATTGTGTTCAGGTTCAGGTTTATTTTCAACAAAAAGTTAGTCTAACTAGAACAGTTAATCTATTATAAAGCAAATGGCTTCCAAAAAATCCACTAAAATGCTGTCGGGTGCATGCAATTTTCGTAATTGTTTGGAGCCTCGGAAACACTATTTCAAATCAGAAACACTATTTCAAATTTTTTAAGCACCGTTTTCGTGAGTTTCTTTTTTAGAGCGATTGAAAAATTGTATCACACCGCGCTGCGCTTTTAGCTCTCAATACAAACAAAAAATTTCTATCACGTGAACAAGAGTGACGATAGTACTAATTAAACAGAACAAAATGTTTATCGTGTAGCATGGTATGAGCCCTTTACTGATTCGACACGTCAAAAACTGCTACTGGAGCAGAAAAAAAGATGCTAGATAATATTCTTGTTGCTACATAATTTCTACGATCTTTTGACGTGAGCTCATATCATGTTTTTGCAAATGAAGTTAAATTTATACATAAATGTTAAGCTACTTCTAATTAGAATGATGATAGTAACCTATTTAATGCATATGGTGGGAGTAAGCCCGAAGAGAAGAACCCTTGATAGCACAATTTTGGACACTAACTAACTATGGCTAACTAAATCAGGTAATATTTTACAGTATACTATACTTTAATACATACAACTAAGCTATAACAATCAGCTATAGCCATCTAATGACAGCTCTTTTTAATCGTAACTATGTTACACACACAAAAACAGCAAAATACTTTTCGATCATGGATCGTGATTTAGAAATTTGAAGAACTTTCTACTACTATTGTATTCTTAACTTTTAAAGTTCTCTTTATTCCAGAAATTGCATAGAGTGACCATATGTGATAAGTTTTCACTTAGAGGCCGCTTTTCTTATTCGTCGTCCGAATCGTCCCCAATCAGTCCCCAAACTCCTGACTTCAATTTGTACAGAAACTCCGAGACGGAGTTCAGCCTCGACTTCTTTGTGTCCTCGCCCACATCCGCACCCGAACGCTCTTCCCACGGATCGTATCCCTCGTCTTGTAGTTTCTGCAGATACTCCGCGTATTGCCTCGCGCTCTCCAGCTGGTAAACTCTCTCACGCCACCCTGCCTCGCAGGAATCTTTTTCAGCAATTATCATCTGGTCAATATAATCCACAGTAGTGAGAGGGTTCGGCTTCAACGCGATCTCGCCGAGTTGCGAGAGACATTTTCGTATCTCGTTCGTTTGCCAGATTACTTCGCCCTGGATATTGGAGAATCGGTCACCAATTTTTGCCAGAAGGCTCTCGGCATCAATTTTCTTATCGGTAGCCTGCTTATACTTCACAAATAGATCCTCAGATCGCTTCTCAATAACTCGCTCTTTGAACACAAAGTAATACGCCATGTTGTAATGGGTTGTCCAGTGGCATTTTCCTCCATTACTTGGGGCACAAATTTTGCAATACCCGTCCGAATCCATAGCACTGCATTTTCGCTTCTCGTCGTCATTTGAGTACTTGCAGTTCAAGTGACAAGTTCGGTTGCAGTTCTGACAGTTAGTCACGTGGCGACCTTCCGGTTTGTCAATCCTCTCCGTGAAATACTCCTTGACCTTGTAGGTGAAGTCACGATTCCTTGCAATGTCCACTTCATGTTGCGTGACCACATCCATTTCCTGACGTATCTGATCTAGAGCGACCAGACCTTTCTTCACGTTCTCTTGAAGTCCAACGATATACACTTGTAGTGCCTCACGTTTAGCCATCACTTCCTTAGTCAACTTCAGCGTCACCGGAGTAACCTGGCTGTCCAAGAATTCAAGGAAAGACTGGAAACTCGAGTTTCCCATTTTCCAGAACATGTGATTGAACATTTCATCTTCGTTAGAACTCTCCTTGTTGCCCGCATAAAGGGCCGAGTTGTTGAACTTGAAGTATTTTCGGAACGGAATGCTGTTTTCTTGTAGAACCTTCACGACCTTCGGTTCTTGTGCATCAGCAAACGTCACCATCATGAAAATGTTTTCTTCGACGTCTTTTCCAAAAATTGATAAAACACGATTGTAGATGTACCTCTGGAACGCATTCATCTTAGTCGCACTGGCCTGGGTTGTGAAGCACACGGCGTGCAGCTGGTCCAAACCATAGGTAGTCTGATCGAACAGATTCCGGATTTTATTGTCCAGCTCTTCGTCTTGAGCAATGCCTTTGGTGTCCCCGAACCCAGGAGTGTCAATTATTGTCACCTAGAACACGTTTAATTTGAGAGAAAACTAGAGTTCGATCGATATGGCTAGCCACATGCCGTTCACATTCAGCGCAACAAACCTGTTCATTGATTTGGTAAATTCAAGAAACGAAACTATCATCAATTAGCTTTTAGCACGAAAGCGTTTTTATAAAAATAATTTTAACTTTAACTGACCTTGAACGGAATCATGTTTTTCTCAATATAGAACGTGTATGCCGTAATCCATTGAGTCTGGCTGGCTGAGTCCATCTCTGTTTTATCATCTTTGTCCGGAATAATCTCAAAGCGGTAGGCATCCTCCCACTGTACACCCAACAAATAATTGGCCAGACCGTTGATCAAGGTAGTTTTACCGGCTCCCGAGGCACCGACGCACAAGATTACCTTCTCCTCAATGACCAATTCTACTGGAAAATCCGGAATCGCAATCTCACAGTGCCGAACAAAAGCCTTGTCGTCCCGGGAGACTGTCACTTGGGGCAGTTTGTACACTTCGGGATAGCCTCCATTACTCTTCAAAGACGAGTGTTCCAGAAACTTTTCCTTCAAAGTCTTCACAACTGGACTGGGCATCGACATCAATGGATGCTCTGTTACATTCTCCAATGGTCCGACAACTGGTTCCTTACTTGCAAGTTCCTCGGTTTTATTTTCTGTTTCAGGCGTTGGCTGGTGAACTGCCGGTGTTTTCTTGTCCTTTTTCCATGGAACTTTCAATTTGATCTTTCCTTTCTTATCACCCTTGCCTTCATCTTTTGACTCCTTTTTGATTTTCTCGTCTTTCGATTTCATCTTGCCGAAAAAAGAAACACCGAGACTACTCGGGGAAGTCGACACTCCCCCGCTCGGCAAGTAGTCGTTCATCAGATTCGGTTTTTTCTTTTTCGTCACTTCTTCAATGGAAATCGGTTCAGTTTCTGGAATCTTCTGGACCACTGCCTCGGGTACAGGCTCATTTTTGTCGTCCACAATAGGAGGTGGTAGATTCTCGGGTTCTGGATCGCTAAACTCGTTATCGAATCCAGTTAAGTCTGGGTAGACTCCAGAGTTATTGCGGTTGTCTGAGTTACCCGAAGTGGGCCGTGGTAGGGTGGGGTTTGGTGTCGGCTGATGGCTAGTCTGCGAACCTATAAATTGAAAAAACCTTTACAATAGAGTTTTGAACCATAACAAACTCGTTTTCTTCCTCCTGACGGTCGCGTTGAAGCAATTGCTTTATATTTTGTCTGTTTTTGCACACAGATTAACGCCTTGATTACGTCCTTAAAACGGGGGCTATTCTCATGCGCGAAGGATTGAATCGAATGGGCGAAAAAACTCGTGAGCGAAGGGCCGAAAACAAATTTAGCCGAAAGTCAATTTTTAAAAAGAAGCAATTGCCATTCAATTAAAATGAATTAAATGAAGCAATATTTTCCTTCTTCGTAACGAAACCCTTGAAATATAAAATTTGTTCCAATTCGGCGGCGGCCAGTGACGATTTGAAAATTTTGCATATTTTTGCCGTTTTTATATTCGGTCAATATCAATATTCAGTCCCTGGAAATGTTTTTTTTTTTTTTAAATTTTAGATTACTGAAATCTTATTAGCTGATTTGTATTTTCGCGCATTCGGTCCTTCGCGCATGAGGGATTCCACCCCTTAAAACGTCTCGATTATTTTTTATTACTCTGCAACAGTAACTTAAACTCCACTTCAGCAATAACAAATTAAGCTTCAGCTCAAACTCCTCCCTATTCGCATACAAACAAAAACGCCAAAAAGAGCTCTTAAAAAATCGGCTTTAAAAACGTTAAAGAAACTGAAAAAAGTTTGAACAATGCGGTACCAATTTTGTACCAATTTTGCCAGTCGCCATGAAACATGTATTCGAGATAATACATGCAGTCTGACTTGCAATTAGAACGATTTCAATAGTACATTTCTTTTGACAGATCGAAAATTGTTCTCCATCGAAAATTGTTCTCCAGACTTTTCATGAGAAAAACAAACCAAATCTACAGAAGATTGTTGGTAGGAATAAAACCTGAATGCACTCTATCATTTTCAGTTTTAGGTGAGGCTAATAAGAGATGCATCAATAAAGGTTCTTGCAAAAAATTAACATATTTTTTCAAGCTTTTAACAAAAAATGAAATTTGCTCAAATTTTGCACCAACACATTTACTTTGAGCCGAAATTAAACCCAATTCGCAAAGCCTACAAAAATTTTCTTCCTTTCTTCCTTCACATACTTATGCTTAATTTGTTGTTGTTAACATGATTTTTTTAGCGAAAGCATTGCGCGACTGCATATTAATGCGTTTTCAAAATTATCCGTAATATAAGTTTTTTGCCAGTCTTCTAGCCGGCTAACTCTCTAAATTATCAACTCTGCTTTTTCCATTTTATGTTTTCGTTCCTTCTGTTTAGTTTGCAGTGACCTGTGTTCTTGTTAAAACGTGATTTTATTTTTATCGTAATTGCAATGAAATTTAGCGACCTGTATTTTCGCTACTAAGTGATTTGGTAACTTTTTCCCTACCCCCTTCCCCCCAGGGAGCGTTTTTTTCGGGTGCATTTTGATTCCATCAAACCAAGCTCGCAGAGAGTCAGTCAATTTGGGTATCGTAGTAAAGCCCTATTGGTCCAAAAAGACATCACAAAAAAAGAACTTAAAAAAGCTGTCTAATCGTCAAGGAAAACCCGTCTGATCATTTTAGATTTTCAGACTAAATACGACAAAAAAATATGAGAGACTGACATTGCGTCTTATTTATACTACAATGTTGTAGCACCTATTGCTTCTCTTTCTAGCAGTTTTTTGTCGAACTCAGTTAATTTTACAAAACAATGAACTTCGAAAAAGTTGAAAAAAAGTTTGAAATTTTCCAATTACTTTTATACCTTTCTTCTATTTGAAACTCTTTTGTTAAATCCCTGTGGTTGGAACATTCTGTGCTATTTAAACGGCAACTCGTTTTCCTTGTTTTTGTCTGAGCTAGATCCTGGATTAAGTTGAATACAGCAATTGGAACTGAATTTTCATTTCATGGGGAGAGGCTATTCTCACAATAGAAGGACCGAATGAGCAATTACTTTTAAATGTTTTTTAAAATTCCAAAAACTGGTTAACTTTCCAGCTTAATTTTAAGTTTTCGAATATTGATCTATGATAGGCTAATAAAGTTTTCGGTCAACCGGTTCTTTTGGCATGAGAGATTCCCCCACTTCAAGCATAAATTTTCTTCGATTTTTTTGTGCTCAAGTATTTTCTTATTGCTTAATCTAGGAAATTCCTCGTGAAGGAGGGACTAAATATTGGAAAAACAGAATCAGCGTATTTAAAACAGAGGTAATTATAGAATAAGGATATCATTCTAGGAGGTAATTTAGACTTTCTTTCACTTGGCTTTACAAAACCACGGTCTATGACGCAGGTGCACAAAAGCTAACTGAAGCAGCAAAACGGCCAGCGGTGAAAGAAAGTAACTTTTTTTTCAGAAGTCAAAGGTCCTTGGCGCTTGAAAGGACGCAGCCAATCAAGTCAAAGAATACTCTAACTGATACAAATAACAACTTTAACAAACTGACCTTAGACCATGATGAACTGCCACCAAAAAAGCGACATAAACATTTTAGATTAATTTGCATAAAACTTAGCAATTACTTGAATATTCTGACTGCCTTTAATCTTGCCCAAAAAATTTTTAGTAAAAAATGTCATCAATTTTTCCAAAAATTTTGTCAAAAAAAAAAACAGTTTTGTGAAGTATCCCTGCTTCATTGTAATGTCAATTAGGCGGTGTCAAAAACAGAAAATTACATAAATAGTTTTAATTGTTGATTTGAAGATGCTTTGAGCATTTGTAATAAAAACAACTTGCCTCATCTGGAATCGATCCGCGACCTACCTCCAAAAATTATCCACCTCATTGCTTTAAAAACTGCGCTTGCTTCAAATAAAAAGTGCGGTCAAACACTTAAAACCAAAAAACTTTGTTTGTCGACCCTTTCTCGTCGACCTTTTTTGTTGATCTTTTTTGTCTGCCTTTTTTTTAGGTCGATCAAATTGATTTTCTGAGCTCTCCTGAACCACTATAAAGACCCTAATTTGACCAAATTTTCTGCGCCGCAAGCAATTTTTCAAAAAAAGGCCAAAAAATTGCGTTTTTTCGGCGCGCGCTCCCATTCAAACTTAGTATAGATTGGCGCCAAAGGCGCCTTTAGAAAAATTTAAAGGTCAGTCAGCCCGCGTTCAGACAATTCGGCCACAGACAATTCAGCCAATTTCAAATTCAGACAATTCAGTCAAAATGAGTGAGACAATTCGGCCAAAGACTATTCAGACAGTTTTAAAGTTTTAAAACGTGCGCGCAAAAACTTTTCACATGCGGCAAAACATCAAAGCTTTCATTAGACGACTTATAAGTAATTCCTTTCAAATGCACATAAAATAATTAAAATTAACAGAACCAAAAATGCCTAAGCATAATAAAACTTTATACAACTCATTATGTTTCCAATTTTGGAATAATAGTTAAGCAAAAATCGAACTCTACAAAAAACTGCGCAATACTTGAAAGTTAACCAATTTACACGAAAGCAGACCCGAAATAGAGAATTTACAGGCGGTCAAAAAGGATATCAGTTAAAGGGCTGACCACCCCTACCACGTACTGGCCACACAGTTACGCTGATATTCCCCGTTAGGCTGGGGAGGGTGCAACCGCCTATCAGGTAATTTGGGTAGTTGGTTGAAACTAATTTGATACTTAAACTTTTTTAAAAGATAAACTAATTGCGATTAAAATATTGACCAACCAGAAACCAGTACCGCGTTTAGCGCCTACTTTTTGCAGTTAAATGGTCCATTGACACAATTAACATTGATTAATTTTCATTATCAAGTAGCTTGAACAACTGGTTGATTAGTATCCGAATCATTCTCATTCATTCACATTTAGCAAAAGTTGACGTAAAATGGAATTCGTAATATCTGAACGCGGAAAAAAAACATCTTTGTCTCGACGGTTATAGATACCGTGAAAAAAACCAACTGAAGAACGGGCTCATTAAATGGCAATGTACATTTGGAAATTGTAGAGCAGTGGATTATTTGGACGAACAGCAAGAATTTACCTTAAAAACCGAGCACGCTCATTTACCGAGCCCCTCAAAAATTCAAGCCAAGAAATTTGCTAATGAAGTTCGAGAAAAAGCCGCAAACACCGGTAACGCTCCCCGACAGATTGTTTTCAACGCCCAAATTGACCTGCCTCTTTATGCAGCGCCCACAATACCGAGTTACTCAACATCCCTTCGTTTTAGTTTTTGCAACACTACCAGCGCTTGATTTGCTTTCTCAGTCGGAAATCTGTCATTGCGATGGAACGTTTTCAGTGGCACCAGACGTCTTTTACCAAGTTTATACTATTCATGGTGTAATCGAAAACGCAGTTATACCCTTGGTGTATGCTCTGCTGCCCAATAAGACGCAAGACACTTACGAAAATTTTTTGGCTGCTTAGAGCAATTTGGAAAAAAAGTAGTCATTGACTTTGAAGCCGCTGTTCGAAACGCCATAAAAAAAAATGCAGCCTGATACAGAAATTCAATTCTGTTTCTTCCACCTGGGCCAAGCAGTATGGCGCAATGTACAAAAACTTGGTTTTTCGCGCAAGTACATGGACGATGATGAGTTTCGACTGAATGCCAAAAAAATGATTTACTTGGCATTCGTTCCCATTGACGACGTTATTTTCGCGTTTGAGGCTCTCCGAAAAGAGGATCCCTCAGAGGAACTCCAGAGTCTATCAGACTACTTCGAAGACACCTATATTGGTGCTTGTCGAGGAAATAGACGCGTCAAACCAAAGTTTGACATTGCCGATTGGAATGTTTTCAATCGGGTGCTCAGCGGAGAACCTCGTACGAACAATGCGTTGGAGGCATGGAATGGCAGCTTCAATAAATTCGTATCGACAAAGCATCCAGCCCTCCCCAAGTTGATCACCCGATTCAAAGATGAGCAAAAAAACGCCGAAATTAATGTAGAGAGACTGATGTCCGGTGATATTATCAGAAAACAGAAGCCCAAGTATTCAATAGCAAATGATAAACTCGTTCAAAACGCAAAAAACTACAATCGAGACCATATACAGAAGTATTTAAAACTGTGTACCTTCAATTTACATATTTCGTAAAACTTTATGCATAGCAAGTTTGTTTTGATCTTCGAAATTTGTTATTTGATGTTTTACATTTCTTTGGTAAACTGTTGAAAGCCTTCTGACTCTAATCAAATTAGAAAAGTTTTATTGTTCCCTTTTATCTTGTCTCTTTAATCTAAATTGGCCGAATTGTCTTTGGCTGAATTGTCTGAGTTTTTTTGGCTGAATTGTCTGTATTTTAAATCGGCTGAATTGTCTGTGGCTGAATTGTCTCTGCGCCCAGTCAGCCAAAAATGGATACCTCAAAATGGTACAAAGTGGGGACCCTTTGGGTCGGCAGGGGGTCAAATCCCTGAGAGGGGGCTGGAATCGATAACGTCGGTTTTATGACCAGTATTTTTGTGGCCCATCTCCATTCAAAAAATCCGCCCTTGAGCTCAAGTGTTTTTTTGCTCACCCCTTGTGTTGAGAGCAGCCAGTGCATTTTCGAGCACCGTCATCTGGGCACAGTCCAGATTCAGCACTTCCAGGTCACTGGGGCCCAATTTGCGGACAGCATCCAGGGTGGAGTATCCCTCCGATTTGAGCAGTTGTCTCGTTTCTCCATTCAACTCCACCTCCTCACACCATCTTTGGAACTCAACAGCTGCTGCCAAGTCCATGTTGGTCTTTTCAAGCGTTGAAGAGTTGTTACTGCTGCTTGTGGAATATGAACAATTGTACCATTGAGATAAACTTTAAGGCATAAAAAACCGCAAAGCAGTCAAGGTTGAACTCTTTTAACCATAAAAAACTCAATTTAACGGTTCAATATGGCATTGTTTTTGCATAAATTTTATGAGCTAGTAAACTTTTCATCTTTTCATTATGGTAAAGCAGCAAATTCATTGTCAAAAATAATTTTATAATGAACTGGGAAACTTGATAAATGACGAGTTTGTTTATCAAGATTTTTTCCACAACCAAACAAAACGACGCTGAAAAAATAAATGCGAAAATTCCATTGACACAGAGACGGATCTAAAATTTTCTCGAGGGGGGCGGGGGTTTGAGCGGATGCTGAAAAAAAATTAAAAACTTTGTCGATCTTCTTTTAGGTCGACCGGACCAAGTTAACATCCTCCCCTTCTTCCCCCCACTAAAGCCGTTGGAGGAGGATGTTAACTTGGTTCTGATTTCTAATTTTCAGCCAATCAGAATAGAGGATTTTACATGCAGGGTTTAGTAAATTTAAGTTCATTTGAACGCTGGAGTGTAGTCTATTTGGGGAGGGGGGGTTATATCATGTTAACTTGATCCGGAGGACCAAAATGATTTTCTGTGCTCTCCCAAATCACCACAACGACCGAATTTTTGAAGCCAAAAAGCGTTTTTAGCTTTTTTTTGGAAAGTTTTGATGAAAAATTGCTTTTGATCGGCGCGCGCTCCCCCTCAAAATTACTATATGTTGGCGCCTAAGGCGCCTTAGAACAACTTTTAGAGTCGGTCAGCTAAAAACGGATGTCTTAAAATAGTACCAAAGGTGGTATCCTTTGGGTCGGCTGGGGGTCGAATCATTGAAGACGGTCATCCCCCCCCCCCTAAATCTGCTTATGCATTGACAGAAATACTCTTGATATATTCTATTTTTTTTAAATGTTGTGCGAAAAATTTATTTTCTATTCGACATATATTTTAATTCCGCTTACCTCGACCGTTCAGTCGTTGATTGAAACTCTGACTTCTTCGAAGTTGAAGACAAACTGAAACTCGATGAGCGTCTTTTGAGCCAAGAAGAGTTAGTCAGTTGGCGATGATTTGTGTTTTGAAAACTGAGCTTCTGAAATACCAGCATCACGAAATTATCACGAATTTCACTCGGCTGATTTTTGGCGCTGTAGAGATAAATTTTTGATAATCGGAGGTGACTTAATGAGCTTTGAGTGTGATTCAGATATCAAAAACTACTCAATGACAATTTCAATGAAGTCGAGAAAAATTGGTAAATATGAAAATGATCATTTGTTTATTCGTTTTACTGTTAATCGAGGCTTATCGGAATAATATATAATCAATTAAGTGCTGCTGACGGGGTTATGTTTGGGGAATGACTAAATGCGCAATAATCCAGAAATTGGCCTGCAAATGTCAGTAACCTATTTGATGTTCAAAGAAACCGGAAAAATCCTGTTGTATGAATTACTTCTTTACAAAAATTTAATGAGTTTTTTTGTGAAATACTCCTAAAAGCAGATGTATTCGGAACAAAAGAATCTTGCGCCACCTGAAATGATGATGCGAGCAGAAAAAGCAAAACGATTTTTCGGCTACACAGTAGCAAAAAAACTTTAAAAAATGATAACTTTAAAACAACAATTTAAACATACATATTTTTTAATTACAGCAACTCAGCACGTTCATGTGGCTGATGAAAAATGACCGCTAAAAAGATACTTATCCAGAGTGTTTTAAATGAGTTTTATTGATTGAAGCCTTACAATTTTGTAATAATCGGTTGAGTGTTATTGAATGTACACAGAAGCTATGGTTATCATATTGATAGATATATAAAATCTCCTGCTGATTTATTGACGCTTTAGCTGAAGATCACAGCCAAGGTGGAACGCGTTTTTTTGTGCTGCTCTGAAAACTGGTGTCATCATCCCATGGGGTATGAGTCACAGTTCAATGTATTCAATTAAGTACCGGAACAGATCTGATAACCAATACAACCTTCGTAATTTCCAAGTTGTATTTCCTACTGTATGAGCGTTGTATTCTAGTTGTAAAATTTTACAGCACAACGATCAATTTCTTTCTTTTTAGTAATGAATTTTGACAAAAAAAGTTTCTTTTTGGCATTTTATCGTAGGTGCAACGTTTTTTAAAAAAAAATTGTTATGACTATTCATAGGTCTGGTGGTGAAAATTTAAAATGATGTTCCCAAAAATTTATTTTCCCAACAGTTATTTTCATCCGGACAAGTTAATTTTCCTAACATTCGCTGCTCATCAGCGCGCAATTTTAGAACAAAATAACTTAATTCATTAAGAAACGTATTTTTAAAATGTGTTTTTTTTCCCAAAAATTTCTATGAACGGTTTTTATAAATCGGGCTTGCTCCAAAATAAGTATTCAATTTTGTAAAAGAAAGGAAAGCAAACTACTGATTGGATGTGAAGGTTTATTAATGGATTATCCAACTGATGTTCAATTTCAGCTTTAAAAAGGGTCAAATTCAAAGTCAACGTGAACAAATTATGCCTGCAGGTGACTATGCTTATACTTATACAAAGGTTGCTATAACATCCAACTGATGAGATAGGAAAAGGGAAAGGCAGAGAGAGGGCCTTTGTAATCCACTGTGTGGAAAAGGTGAATGACCTATTAAAAAGGAAACGCGGAAACAAAAAAGAGCGTGAACAAAGTGTGTTTTTTGTTCAGATATGCTTTTTGGTGTCGGTGTAAAATGATTCAACCAAATGAGACTTATCCTGGTCTGCTGTCTCAATCAGTTTAGTTTAATGAATAAAAAAACAATTATACGCGTCGATTGCACACATCTAGTTTTAAACGTTAAAAATTTAATCAATTTTTTTATATTTTGCACTCCTGTGGCTTCGTTACTGTTTCACTACATCCCTTTTTGACCCAATTAATCGAAAAATTGAAAAAATTTGGCACCCATAAATACAAATCGTTTAAACGAAATCGTTTAAAAATCAAGTCTAAGCTTTTTAAAACGCCTAGTGTTTTTTTTTTGGATTTTTGAGATTGTTTTTTTTTGTAATTAATGAGGGGGCTGAGATTGTTGATGAGCAGACCCCGGACTTGAGTTTAACTATTTTTTTGTAGATTTCTGTTAAAATGCAGGAAATAAACTAATCAGAGAGATGCGCTTTATTTTAACTAAACCTGTTGATATTCTCCAGAAAAAGGTGGGTAGTTGGTTAGATGCTACAAATTACAAAACTTGAAACGTAAAATTTTCCCAGTAAATGTTCCCACAAATGAAACACTCGGGTTTTCTTTCAGCAGCGGCACATTTTTTAACAAAAAATTCGTTGAAAATGTTTTTTTTTGCTGTTGCTGCATCAAATTTTTGTCAAAACTCATGTTTCAATGAACTTTTCTTCAACTAACTTGATGGTCTTTAAGGAACTATTTAGTTTACTAAAATGGCTTTTTATACTTAACTAAAATCTGGGGCCTGTTGATGAGCTATAACAATCAGTCAATATTAGCTTTAAAAAAATTAAAATAGCAGAAGAATTTGATTGGAAATGCAGTCTGAAAAACACAGAAATTCAGACCAGTTTTTCTTGACACTGAGGCAACTTTTTTGAAACCTGTTATAGGAACTCGAATCACAATCAAAAGGTCTTTAAAATGATACCACACTGGCCCATGTCAACAATCTCTTTCAAAAATTAAATGGAAAATTCAAGCCGTAAGGCCTGCATTTACTATACTCATATCTGAGTATTCATAGGTCCCAAAACGAAAAATCAGTCCCATAGGTCCCAAAATAAAATAGCAGTCGCACAAGTCCCAAAGCTTTTCAATTGGTCAAAAGAATAAATTAGCCGAGTCTCGCTTCGCGGCGATAACCGGCTCTAAATTTCGTATAGAGTCCTACCATTTGGTGGCAAGCTCGCAACACGTTGACGCGGCTGAGGCGGTCATTATTCTGCAGCTTGAGTTTATGTTGCTTGAATAGTAAACAATCAATCCATAAATTTCAACCAATCAGAATTCAAGAAGATAAAGTTTGGGACTTATACGAGTGATTTTTTATTTTGGATGCTACAGTGCTGATTTAAATTATCCGGACAAAACGAACAAAACTTGAATTTTCAAACGCGTTTTTCTCAAATTGGGTTAAAATTAGACAAAAAGTGAAGAGGACAAAAGTTGCTTAGAATTTCACCAGAATTGATATGGTGCTATTTTTTCTCCCAAATTCTAAACCAAAATTTTACCCCAAAAATGGGTCGTTTTGGCTTTTTTCAATTAATCACGAATTACGCTGAAACTACTCTGTTAATTGATATGAAAATTATATCACAGGAAGACTCTTACGCAGCTCAACAAAGTTTAAGAAGGGTCAAATCTCCAAAAATTTGCGCAAATTGTTTAAAATTTATTTTTAAACAGAGGTTCTGGGTTTTATATAGTAAAAATTACATTTATTGACTAACAAGTGAAATTTTTTTCATTTATACTGGTTTTTGGAGATTTAATCCTCCTTAAACTTTGTTGAGCTGCGTAAGAGTCTTCCTGTGATATAATTTTCATATCAATTAACAGAGTAGTTTCAGCGTAATTCTTGATTAATTGAAAAAAGCCAAAACGACCCATTTTTGGGTTAAAATTTTGGTTTAGAATTTGGGAGAAAAAATAGCACCATATCAATTCTGGTGAAATTCTAAGCAACTTTTGTCCTCTTCACTTTTTGTCTAATTTTAACCCAATTTGAGAAAAACGCGTTTGAAAATTCACGTTTTGTTCGTTTTGTCCGGATAATTTAAATCAGCACTGTATGAATATTGGGTTACATATCAGTATTTAGACAACCGCGTATTCAGACTGGTCAGTATTTAGACAAATACTGTTTCAACCAATCAGAATCGAGACAAAGAAGAAATTAATAAATAATTATGATTTATTTTGGATTATTTACGTCTTTTCTCGATTCTGATTGGTTGAAACAGTATTTGTCTTAATACTGACCAGTATGAATACGCGGCTGTCTAAATACTGGCTGCACTCCGAATATTGGACCTATGGGAATTCACCCTTGAAGCCTACAACCTTTTGGGGAAGTTAAAATTGGTAAAAAAACACCTACGCTATAATTTCTTCCCCATTGGGTGATCGGAAAAATCTGCCCTGCTCCCATGTATTAAAGTTTTGAAATTCTTGCGCATTTAATCACATTTTAATTCTCATTTTAACGCTTTTGGCCAGAAGTTAAGCTTCTCCGAAGGATGAAATTTGAGCGCAGGATGAAAATAACCGCCTTGAAGGTGTGGTATTTGATAAGAAAATAACTTACATTTTCAGGAAAACAAGAGTCTCTTAACAGGAAAGCACTTGTTATCGGAAACAAACTCGCGAAGTTTTCAGTCAAATGAACTTCAAATAAGGCGCTTGATAATTCTGGTGACAAAGAGTGCAAAAGAGTTCAATTTTTCATCAAAAAAGAACGGTTTTCCTTTTTTGTTCCAAAGCGGTGCATGGTAGAAAAAATAGCACTGTGATAGCTAGCGGTTGAACGTGTATGTACCAACCAACAAATCCAATGTAATGAATAATATACCAACACAGAAACTGACTTACCAACGAGACAACAAACGACCACGCGAGCAAGTAAATACTGCAATACTGCTTCTATATATGCAGAAGGAAAATGGAAATCAAAACTCACAACGCTTATTTCGCAAAGCACGGAATATACGTCTAAAATATAGCTGAAAAATTGTATAGTCGATTTTTGTCAGTGAACAAAGGTTCGCTTCAGCAAGTACAAAACAGCACCGAGCGAAGGGTGATATTCAAATCTTAATTCAATATAGAGTCATACGCATTTGCACAGAAAGTAAGAAGAAAAATGTGAAATGCGGGTATAATGCTATATACATTCAACCAAAATCTACTTACTTTTACTCAATGGTTATATGGGTATAAGTATAAACTGTTAACTCCAAATCAGGAATTTCTCCTTCTGCAATTTTAGTCACTGCTGCAGTGAATGAACTCAGAGATTTAATGTTGACATTTATTTTCAGAGAACAAAATTGCGAATACCAGTTAACCACTAAAAAAAACTATTTGAG